TTTAAATTTATTCAGGGTTGAATTTTCTGCTTGCATGGGTGAGTGGGATTGGTTTGTGCTCTGTGATTTTCTATCTCTTTGATACCTTGTGATTTGTTTTTCAGAAGTGTCCASCTCATGTTGTTCTGAAAACGTCCTGTCCCCAGCCCCTCAGTCCCAAGTCACCCCGAGGTATTCCTCAGCAGACTGTGGTGCTGTCCCCTCCCTGTGCATCAGGGGACAGCTCAGGGACAGCCCCAGCAGCTCTGTCCCCTGCCCCAGCACTGCCAGCAGCTCTCCAGCAGCCTCAGAGCATTCTGCTTGTGGAAGACAAAGAGCCCAAAGATTTGTGTCAGAGTAGCCCAGCAGCCATCCCTGTGCAGATTGTTGTGACTGATGGGGACACAGAGGAGCAAAAGCACAGYGAGGAGCTGATGGTTTCTCCATGCTCACCACCTCCTCCTCCACCCCCTCCTCCCCTGCCCCCTCCACCCCCAGCTCCCCCTCTTCCTCCCCAGTTCAGAACCCAATCAGCAGCAGAGTATAAACCCCTTCCCCTCAGCTCTGACAGCCCCTCAGAACTGCACAAACAGGATGGTTCATCCAGGAGCTCTATCAATAATTGCATAGGTAAGTAGGCTCACATCAACAGGTGCTTTTTAATGCATTTCCTGTATTGTTGTGGTCTCCCTCCCTCTGTTTCTGGACAGGAATAATGTGTAGTTTTGATCAAGAGAATGAGGCTCTTGGAAAGCTTAGTCTAAGAAACTACGTACAGTAACACTGACCATAGTTCAGGATGTTAAATGAGTAACAATATGTGTGTCCTGTTTGAGACACTTCATAGGGTCCTGAAGCTCCAATCAAGACTAATGTGGGTAAATTTGTAGCTGTACTAAGGCTGCACTTTGATGTTTGTGATTTATGTACTGCAGGGCTGGCATTTGGGCTGCTTGCTTGCATTTCTAAGGTGTGCACAGCCTGTGTCCACTTAAAATTCACTTGGTTTCTAAAGAAAGGTTTCCTAAGAGAATTCATGCAGAATTTAACCAGGATTTGAAAGGCAGGTGAATAGATTTGGCATACCTTTCTAGTGAAGAAATTCTGCTCAGGTACACCTTTGCTTTGTTAGCAAGTTCATGCAGGTGTAATTGAAGGCTGAACTTGGCAATTGAAAGGATGGTTTGAATGAGAATAGAGCTCAGCAGCCTCCCAAGGCTGCACTGGTTACATCSTGCTAACAGCCTTGTTTTTATCTCTAAAGCAAGCAGGTATTTTGGCTGTGTCAGAGACATTGATCTAAGTTGGAAGGCAGCAATTGTTTTTGGTTGTTTTTCACAATGGAGCTTATGCTAGAATGAAGGATGTCTTTACACGTGGTGTATTCATTTCCCTCTTTGACTCCTCACAGTACATCCAAGCAGCYTTTGTATCCTGTCAGGAGGCAAAGCACAGGCAGAAATAGCAGGGGAAGTTCAGTGTTTTTAGTTTTTCCAAGCTGTGGGGAAGCACAAGCAGCTGAAGGGCTGAGACCCAGCTGAGTTRCCATGGCAAAGCASTGTGCATGGAGTGCAGACTGCAGTCTGGAATGTCCATGGGATAACTCYGCCCCAGATGGGGTAACTCTACCCCAGACCCAKCTGAGTTACCATGGCAAAGCACTGTGCATGGMGTGCAGACTGCAGYTGGGAATGTCCATGGGRTAACTCTGCCCCAGACACTCTGAAGGAGCCTTGAGCAGGAGCTGAAAACACCAGAGTGGTGAGATTGCTATGGAACAGCCTTGCTGGGARCTGAGATTTACTGGCATTCACAGCYTAACACTGATGTCTTTATTTTTGGATAAGAATTTTTGTTTGTTTGTTTATTGCAGAGATCTGATTACAGTTGTCTGTACCTATTCCTTGAAGAAAAACGTCGTGTCAGTAGTTGTACTAATAATTGCTAAATTACTGCCACAGCAGCTAACTGAAACAGCTTCATAAACATGTTGGTTTTACTCATGGGCTCCTCATGTCTTTGTGTGTGGAAAGCCAGGAGCAGCTTCTTTTATGATTTGCTAGTCTGACTAATCTTTTACAGGCAGCCCCTTTAATTAGTAGACTTCAGACTTTTTTACCTGTAGGCTTTGTAAGGTGATCTGGTGGATCTTTGCTTGGCCCTTTTTAGTCTCTGAAGGTACCACAGGATTTAGCAGAATGTTCCATTTTAAGTGGTTGATGTTAATCACATAACTTTGTGTGCACTGCACATGGCAAAAATATTTGCAGCTGTGAGGCACAGATGGTCTGGAGCCATTGGTGTCCAGGGAGAGCCTCCCTGCCTGACAGTGTGGAGAGGCAGCAAACAGCCCAGTCAAAGGGGTAAAACACAAATCAGGTGTATCAGCAGGACTGGTGGAAGCTCCCAGTGTGCTGTTCTTCATGGTCTGACAGTCAGAAACATTCAGCAGAGATCTAAATCGTTGTAAAATAGGAATTGTTTCCTAAGTCCAYACAGGAAAGAGCTGCCTGCATAGGGCCTGATGTGACTCCCACTGACTTTCAAACCCTTCTACTCAAATCCTTTCATTTTTCTCTTGGCTGAGCAAAAATGCAATTGATGGTCTCAGCAGGCTTCTGGGCAAGCTAGGAGGGATAGTGGATTGTTTATAACACAGAATGCAAGAGATTTTTTGGTTCAGTGATTTTTTTTTTTTTTGAAAGCCCATAAGGTTGTAATGAAAAAGAGCATCGTCCTTTGTGTATAATTTCTTCTTTAGAGCACAACCTTGTATAATGATGAAGAGGCATTSGATTCTCAGTTCAAGGTATAAAAGCTTTAACTGCTTTTTACAAACAGTTCCAGAGCTGCTGTTGCAGAAGCTCTAAAAGGTCTGTGCCAAATCAGACCATTCTTTTTGCTGTCAGTAGCACAGATGGAAGGAGCAGCCATGAACACTTTAGTGTGGTTGTGTCATTTGTTCTCCTGTAACAGACGGATGTTTTGCAGGCTCCATGGATGAAGTGCTGGCCTCTCTGAAGCGCAGTGAAGTTCACCTTCACAAAGTGGAGCCCAATCCTTACACYTCCCTGAAGGACAACATCCTCTGTGCCATCAGGCAGGGGGTCAAACTGAGGAGAGTGAACCGAGATCCTGACACAGAGGGCAGGAAAGGATCCCCCAATGAGCTGGAGAGAAGCATTAAGGCAGCSATGCAGAGAATTAAGAAAGTGTCTGCTGATTCTGAAGAAGAGGAGGACAATGATCAGAGTAATGGAGAATGGGACAGCTGACCAGTATAACAGACTGACTGACTGGAGCAGAGTGTGTGCCAATTGTGCACGGTGTAGAACGTTCCTTTCAAAAGGAAAGAACTGTGTGATTGTGTGGGGTGTTCTCATAGTCCTAAATGTCTTGTAAAGTGAAAGAATCMTGTTGATTTTTCATAGGAACTKCAGATTCGTATTTTTGCATGAGAARCCATACTCCAAATTATGCCTGCACTAAAAGGTGTTTCTGGCTCAACCAGGTAGTGTTTTCATCAATTCTGAAGACAGTTAAAATGCTGGAATGAAACATACATTATTTACATTGGTACTATACAGTAGGCAGTGCTATCAGAACAAAGTTTAAGGAATGAAAAAAATAACTGAAAATCACTTTTGTCAGATAAAAGTARATGCAAATCTGTGGTGACTGAGGCAGACCAGAAAACTTAGCATGATCTGGAATCTTTCACTCCTACCTCCATTGTCCAGAAAATTCTTAAATTTTGCTTGTCTAATGCAGCTCACTCTCAAATAACTACATGGATACTCCATTTATCATCACGTTAGAAAGTGTGCACTTATGGATGGCTTGATAATGCTGATTGGGAAAATCAGTTTCCAGTTTGAAAGAAACACTACTGCAGTGTTCTTTTTTAGCTGAAAGATTAAGTATAGAGAACTTGTAGATGTTAAATGTTTTTCATATATTTACATTTACAATGATCTGTTGACATGAAAAAAGAGCCAAAATATTATATATGATATTTTTCAGGATTTTGATTTAGTCCTGTAATGCAGGGCTGCATTTCTCCATGGAGAACTTCAATAGATGCCACTCATGAATTTAAATTCCTGATGGCCTTATAAATGGCAGGTATTTACGTTGTGCCTGGAAGCTAACTATTTCAAAATTCAGCTACATTCAGTTTAGAGAGTCTTGCTATTTTGGGTAGATAGTGGCAAAAAGGATTCAAGTTATTTTTCTGAAGTTTATACTGACCCTTAATAAAAATAGATCTTGGCAGAAGAAGTGGATTCAATGTGCTGTCATTTTAGGATGCTGCTGTGAACTGAACATTATTTATCCCATGGTCCCCTGGGTTTTGATTACAAGTGGCAGCCATGCAGCTCTCACTAATGKTATCGGTAAATATTTTCTCAAATATTTATGAATTGCAATTTGATAACAAAATTGCAAATACAGTGCCTTAATTCCCCGTTTTACTGTAGAGCAGATCTGTTTAATCAGCACAGTAAAGATGCATGCAKCAGTTTTCCTGTGAGCAGAGGCAGCATCTGGGGGTTGGTTCATTTTTTACTGTTTAAGCAACCACTGCTGTTTGGATGTGAGAAAAACGATTTCTATAAATCAGTATTGCTGTGCCTTGTGATCTTTCTAACTATGATGTGGGCAGTCCAGACAGCAGCTGCCAGTATTTTAGGGAGGTTTAAAGTTAATGTATTTAAAGAGTACTCTGTCAGACTGAAAGGATTTCCTTTGAAGCAGCAGAGCTTTGATCACAGCACAGCAGAGCAGCAGTGCCCAGCTGGAGGTGCCAGTGCAGCCATGGATTTGTCAGCATTTCTGTCCTCAYGCTGCCTTGGGGGATTCTGAAACTTCTCTGCAGCCTCCCCTCCAGCTCAGTGCTGCCTCACAAGATGAAGAACCATTTTTTTTCTGCTAAATGGTGCTGAATCGAGCAAATCAGGTCTGAGTGTGGACATTTGAAGTGCCCCAGACCTACAGGGGATTGAGCAATGTGACACTGGGCACCTGTGGGACTGTGGAATAGGATTGAGTATAAGGGCCTGAGGGGCTGAAGGYTTGCAGGGCAGCCCCTATCACTTCCTTCTTTTATCCCTTGAAATAAAAAGATGCACACATACACCAGGACACCAGGAGCAAGAGGGACAAAGAGATCAGTAGGAAGGCATTCATTAGGGCTAAAAAAAAGCTGGGAAATGCTTCTCATTTCAGTCTTCCTCTATGAAGCAGTTGTAGATAAAGGTGTGCACCCTTTGGAGAAAATGAGACTTTAGGCTATGCATGGCCTCACTCAGGAAGCGTGGATTTAATTCCAAAAGCTGCTGTATTTGCTTCCGAGAGCACGTCTGTGCACTGCACTCCATAGTAACGTGATATTTGTAGGAAAGAGGGACACATCATTGCAGCTAAACCCATGGTGATGATAAAAGGTGAGTGGTATTGAAAGCATTTTTTAATAAATGCCACACCAAACCTTGGGCAGCAAAAACCGCTCAGAACAATATGTGAGTGTGTCCCTGGAGGAAACACTCAGACTGCTCCAGAACGCGGCATCTTTTCCTGGCTGAAAGGTGTGTGATTTTCATTCTCAGCATGTCATGCTATGCTGAGAGCAAGAGGCAACACAATTAAATCTGCTCAGGTAACAGTGACATTAACAGCTCAGCTGCTGGGAAAATGCTGTGTAAAATGAGCATCTTCCTTTGCTCTGCAGGAAGAGTGAGCCACAAACTGCTTAGAA